GTAGACTTTAGTGTGTGTAATTGTGATGATTAATTTTATATGTCAATCTGACTGGGCTAAGGGATGCCCAAATAGCTGGGTGTCTGGAAGAAATTAGCACTTGGTTCAGTAAACTGAGTAAAGATCTGCCCTCATGAATGTGGGTGGCATCTTCTAATCCAATCCACTGATGGCCTGAGGACAGAAAGGCAGAGGAAGGGCACATTCTCTCTCTCTTGCCTTAGGCCATCAGAGTTCCTGGTTCTTAGGACTTCAGACTCCAACTGAATTACACCATTGGTATTCCTGGGTTTCCAGTTTGCAGATGGCAGATTGTGGGACTTCTCAGCCTCCACAACTGCATTAGCTGATCCCTCTAATAAATTTTATGTGTGTGTGTGTGTGTATGTATATATATGTGTATGTGTATATATATGTATTATATATATAATTGTTTGTTTCTCTGGAGAACCCTAATACAGTAATAAAAGGCTTACTGCTAGAACCTGTACCTCAACTGTGTGTCCCAGCCTTCACACTGGGAGAGCCCAGCAGAGTCTAGTCATTGCTGGTGAGACACCCTTTGGCCTTAGGCTATCCCCTAGGGCCTGCTCCTCAGAGAAGGACAGCAGGCCCAAGCTCTCTGGCATATGAGGGGAGTAGTCTCATGATTGCCTCTGCCTCTCACTGGCCAGGTGTCCCCAATAACTGCTTTCACTGCTTTGTCTTATCCCTCCAGAAGCATCATAAGGATTCATTCTGCCTTACTGGTGGACTTGGTGCCACCACATTCTGGTCTCTGTGACAATAAGGAACACCTTTAACTAGCAAGTGGTGCTCCCTCTGTCAAGTAGCCTCCCAGCTGGGATGGTCCTGGGGTTTCCCTGACATTCCCTTGCACCTGTGAAGGTAGAAAGAGGTAGTGTCTTTTCAAAAAATTAAAAGACTTGGACAAGGGACAAGTGAGCGTGGGTATCTGGGGCAGAAGACCCACGCTCAGCACTCTGATTGCAGCAGGAACCGAGAGCGAATAGGGACTTTGCAGAGGTAAGGTAGCTTACCTCTGTAAGGTAAGCTACCAGCCTGTCCAAGAATGTCCCCTCCCACTAGGGGAGCAGATAGCCTCTCCTTGCCTTGGGTAGACTCCACCTGCATGAGGATGGGGCTTCAAGCATTAGGTAGGAAGTGGCTTCTAAACTCTTCACAAAGAAAAGGAAACACGACCCCTACCTATAAATGACCAGATCGCCAGTGCTTCAAGTATCTTCCTTTCCTTCTAAAAATTTTTGCAAAGTCCAATGAATAGACGTTTTTACAGTAAAAAGATTATTTTTTAAGGAAATGCATTTTCTGCAAAGCCCTAAGAACTGTGCTTATGTAAGTGGGTGGTACTGACAAGAAGCAGCAGAACCAGGAGGGGTGGAACCATGTGACTAGCCAAAGGGCCAATGTAGAGCTTTGAGGGCCTCAAATCTTGGGGCGCCAACTAGACTCCATCAAGAGAAAGGAGGCCAGCCCAGGCCGGGGGTAGGCAGAGCAGGCAAGCAGGATAGCCCCTAACCCTGCATCAGGGGCAGGGAGGGCCACATCCCAGCACCCCTTGGGAGGCATCTGTGTGGTGTGGGCTGGCCTTGCCGCCTGTGCAGGGGTGACACAGCACGGCTCTAAGAGGAGGGGTCAGTCTCTGCTTCAGATGTTCTGCAGGGGGATCGGTTCTGAGTGCTCAGCTGGGTGAGAGGCAGGTCCCAGGAATCTTAAAAGTGGGCTGCCGACAAGCCTCCCCTTCAGAATGCCTCCTTTGCCTCAGCTGTCCAGCTTCTGCAAGAAACTCCAACAGACGCCAAGGTCACAGAGGACAGAGGGGCACAAGTGCCCGCCTCCTGCACAACCTAGGGGGCTGTATCTGCCTACTGGGCAGCACCCACGAGAGCTTGGACAAGGGCAGCAGTCAGCCAAGCCTTGCTTGTCCCCTGGGGGGTGGACACCAGCAGCCTGCTTCTGCCATTTCCCAGAGCTCCCTAAGATGAGTGCTCCTCACCTCAGTAACTGGTTTACCAGCCCAGGGCTCACCCCTCCCGCCCTTGCTGCCTGGTCACCCACAGGCACTGAGAACATGTATGCAAGTGGGCTTCTCAGCATCACCTGTGCCCACAAACCAACCTGCCTCCAGGGAAGATGGGAGTCATCGAGGAAGCCTGCTCCAAACTCAGCTTTACAGTGACTAAACTGAAGTCCTGGGGTGTCCCTCTACCACACCCACCCCCTCAGACAGGACAGAAGACAGCCAAAGTCCTAGAACATTCCTACCACCACCTTGTGATAGGGACCTAGGAGGTTCGGGGAGCAGAGCAGTTCAGAGGTACGAGCAGGTCCTCAGCCTTCCTTGGAGAAAATTGCTGCTCAGAGAACCAGGGTGAGTGGGCCTCATGGGCCAGCCACACCACTAGGATTAGGGGAAAGAGGGAAAGGCAGAGAGCAAAGGCACCCTCCCCACATCCCCCACGGCCCCAGCCAGCCCTCAGGCCTACGGAGATGGTCACCCAGGGGAGCCGCAAACAAGAGAGGGCTTCTTGTCCACTGCAGGCAAGCCATGCCCGTGCTGGTTTGCAGGGGGCCCTGAGGTCTGGGGTACAGCTCCATTAGCTGGGCTCCCCCCGGCATCACCCATCTGCCCAAGAAGACTTCTCCTCAGCCTTGCCCCACATATGGACTGGTCTGTTGGGATAGTAGAAGCCCAAAGTGCCCAAGAACACATCTAGAAATATGCCCATGGAATTGAGGGGAAACGTATCAGGACCCAGATAGTGACCGTGAGCCTACTGGGTGGGGGTTTTGGAAAGGGGGCCATGGACACCGGTAACTCCCCAGAAGATGGGAACAATACATCACCTAGAGCTTAGCAGAAGATGAGAAATCCGTCAGCAATTTGATGTCATTAGGGAACGTCAGCCATGCTCCACCGTCGACCACCAGTACAGCCCCAGTCACGTAGGATGCCAAAGGGCTGGCCAGATAGAGCACACTGTGGGCGACCTCTGTCTTGTTCCCTAGCCTCTGCAGGGGGGTTGCCAGGACCTTCCGACTCATGCTGGCCTGAGGACCACCTGAGAGATGAGCTCCTGTGAGCCCCAAGATCCCAGGGCCCTCCACCCTCCCTTGCCCAGCTGTCCCTAAACCACATCCGGAAATGTTAGGGTCACTGTTAGCATCATCCTGGCAGAGCAGGCCAGGCCAGGTACAGAGTACTATCACCATAGAACCAGTATAGGGCTTTTTAACGTACACCCTGCCAAAGTTCTGGAAGCTTCAATGGAAGCCTTACTTTATGTCTGACTCACACATCAAGGCCAGCAGCCCTGTGGCCTCTACCTCCAGGAAGCAGCTGCCCAAGTCTGGCTGACTATTAGTCCATTGCAGGTGTGTGTTGACCACAAATAGCCCTGACCTGACCTGGAAACAGACTCTTTGCTGGCCCCAGGGTGCCATGAGGATTTGGCATTTGTCCTGGGCCTGTTCCAGGCAGATGAGAGGGAAGCCCATTGAGACACTGTGGGGCCTGTGCCCAGGGGAGCATCCAAGGGGGCCTGGGCTCCCTGAGATCCTTACCTAGCCGCCGGAAGCCCTCTGTGCCACTGATAGGACCAGGGGCAAGGCTGTTGACACGGATGTTCTGGGGACCCCACTCCACAGCCAAGTGCCGCGTCATTGCATCTGCATGGAAGGAAGGCAGACATGAGGGAGCATGCAGGGCTGCTCTGCCTTCTGAAGTGGCCTGGGTGCAAGTGAAGGCTCAGAGCTAGGGCTAGGCCTCTCCGCTGCCCACTCGGACACTGCCAGCCTCCAGAGACAGGAATGAGAGAGACCCAACAGGAACCCAGGTGGGCAGACCAGAGGGGGTGCCATACCCACAGCTGCCTTGGCAGACCCTGCATGCACTTGGAGCACCTGTCCCCGGTTACCCAGGGTTGCCGTGATGTTCACAATCACTCCTCCATGGTCCTACAACACATGGGGTGGGGGACGGGGGTTGTAAGAGAGAGGACCTCCAGAAGAGGGGAAGCCCCAGTCAAGAGGACACTCACATGGTAGAACTTTTCGTAGAGCACACGACACACGTTGAAGGTGCCCAAAGTGTCAATTTCCATCACGGTCTTGAAGGCATTGAAGGACAATGTGCTGGCCCGGCACAGGAAATTTCCAGCTGCGCCTGCAGGGTGGAAGGAGACAGCGGAGGGTGCTGGAGCTCCAGGCAGTTATAGATAGATCTTCAGGGTGCTCCAAGCCAGACAGAGAAGGAGGCCCAAGAATGCCCCTGATTTTGATTCAGCCAGGTTCATATTGAGGTGACCCAGAAGGAGCAGAGTTGGGCTGAGACAGTGGCCTGGAGTTGAGAACAGAAGTTCTGGGACCTATAAGCACAGAGGTCTGGTATTGCTGACCCATCAGAAAGCCTTTTAACGGTGACTTACAGTTTATGAGAATGTCAATTTTCCCAAACTCCTTCAGTGCCTGGTCCACAGCGGCCATGATAGCTGGGGGAGCTCGAACATCCAGAGATAAAGGGAGGCACTCCTGGCCAGTAGCAGCAGCCAGCTTTCTGGCAGCCTAGAAGCCGGACAGGAAGAAGAAAGGAAGGCAGCAGCCCAGTGGCCTCAGCCTGGAGGAATAGCCCTTTAGGATCTGAGAAGGATGATGTGTCCAGGTTCTGCTGGGAAGCCAGGGTTTGCTACTGGACACCATTCCGGGGAAGTGCAGCTAGCAAGGGGCCATTCCCTGGGTCTGTGACCCCTGGTAAACAAAGATATCCCACACTCTCTCCTACCCTACCTGCTCCAGGTTCCTCCCTCCATATCACCCTCCAGGCCACTCATCACAAGTTAATGAGTTAGCTCCAGCTGACTTCCAGTCCCTGCCCAGAGACCAGCTTGCCTGCCCTCCTGGGTGAGTGGGACATGTGAACCACCTTTATAATCCTAGTGAGCTCAGAGATGTCTCTTGATCAGTGCCACCCAACATGAAGGCTCTCTCACAGGATCCAGTAATTAGATTTTTTAAAAAGCCAAGGGTGTCTCTAGGAGGCCACTTTCACTGAAACTCCATATTTGGAAGAGAAGTGGCTTTTGGTATCAACATCCTCTGGGCCTCAGGACCCTCCAGGCTGAGGCTCTGGGTCTCCACAGCAACCCGTGGATAGGGTGGACACAGAAGAGACCCCCTTACCGACGACACTCTCGGAAGGCTTCTGCTGGCGATGACTGTGTGGCAGCCGTGCCTGCAAAGCCAGAGGGCAGGCATGAGGGGGGTAAGGTACAAGGAACAGATCCAGGTGGGCTCCTGCCCAGAGCTCTAAGCAGAGCCCCCTTCCCCAGGGTCTCTCAGGCTGAAGCACGAGCCCAGGGCTGAAAGCACAGCTGGTAGACAACACAGTGGTCTGAACAGGGCTGAGTGACTGTGCTGGGACCTCAGGTGGGTGCCACTGGTCTCACCCCAGGGTTTCTGGGCTGGCCTCTCTGGCACCAGGTATCTCAGTTACACAGGGATATGGGCTCTGTCCCAAACACCATGTGCATAGCACCAAAGCAGCTATAAGCATTAGATGGGGGCCCAGCACCTACACAGGGCCAGCTGGGTTACCCTGGCTCACCCCTACATGTTCCTCCCCCCTCCCCCGCTCCCTGTGGGGTTGGAGTGAAGGACAGAGAGCACATTCTGAAGCCTGGGCATCTCTCTTGCCTTACCTCTTGACAAACTTAGCCTCACAGTAACAATAGCAGCTACTACCTGCTAAGCAGGTTCCACCTACTCTTCAATAAGCCCCTGACCAACTATCCATGCTCTGCTCAGAGAAGCAACATACCCAAACCCATCAGCTTGGAAAACAGGTTCTGTAATGAATGAATCCCAAAATCTTGTCCAGTGGGACTCACTTCTCTGATATAAAAAGTGGGAGCCCAGGAAAACTGAGGGCCCTAGGATAGCAACAAGCTCTCTTTCCCCCAACCCCAGCTTAACTCTGGGCTTCTCCCAGGTGAGGGTAACAAATTGCTGATCTGGGCCGGAACCCACAGAATTTGTGTCTCAAGAGACACTGTGCTCTGCATCCAACTCAGCCCTCTCTGACTTTGGCTCAGTGAGTCCCCAGGGGATCCTGCAGTAGAGTTACCTCAACTTGCTGAACCTTCCTTCTTTGTACAAATGAGAATGCTGAGACTTGAGCCACACGTGTTGACTAATCTCTAGGAGAAGACCCTGGAGTCCTGCCTCCCCTGGGACAGCATTTGACCCCTTTCAGATTCTCTCCAATGGTTC